TACCCTTCCTGCCAAAATCGTCTTCACAGATTGAGACCAATATTACACCTAAACTAGTTAAATATTACACCACACCCAAGACAAACAAAACCAAACAGGTTTTTTCATCTTACTCCACGCCTCTACCCAATTCCCACAATATTCTGGGAAAACTACTAACCAGGCAGAAAAACACATACCAATCGAAAATTGTTAAGGAAAAGGGATTTTTGTATTGCACAAATTTGAGTTCAACCGGTTACACATGCCATAACGTTGAAGTGCAAAATCAAACAACAGTGGAAAATAAACAAGTCCTTTTATCTCTCACTCAGTTCATGTATAACTTATAAGCTATATTGAACTCCCATTACCTTTTGATATCCTCCAAAAAGGCTAAACCTTGACTTCAAACATCGTGTCTTCATCCTCCAAAAAGGCTAGACCTTGCTCGAAGTACAGAAATGAAATGGATGCTGCTTCGTCACGCTTGGCTTGGCCTCTTCTAGTGGTCGCCAACAACGGGGTGGAGCTCAGGTAATTGATTTTCTTGATTTAGGGTTTCGAATGTTGGGTGGATTTCAAGGATTTGGGAGTTTTGGAGTGGAGCTTGACAGAAATGGATTTGGGGAATTTCTGGATTTCAAGGATCTGAGAGTTTTAATGCACAGAACAACTTCAAGGCAGAGAGAAATGAAGGGCGGCTAAAGGAAATTGAAAATGGAGAAGACGAGACCTTAAGTGGGAAATAGAAAATTTTTGCGGGAAGTAAAAAATTTAAGCCCCTGTTTGGCCCCCATTATTGTAGATTTTTAGGGGGTTGAAAATTTTTAGAATAGTGATTGATGGGAGATGTGTGGTGGAAAAATTTTAGATTTGTGTGTATTATTATTTTATTTGATGAATGTATGGTTGAGATGAAGAGAGAGAAAAATTTAATGTAATGTAATGAGATATAATAGGGGGCAAACAAGGGCTAAGTAGGAGGGAAACTGTTTATCACCAATTTTTTACATTTAAAATTATTTTATTCTTTTTTTTTCCTTTTCAACGGAAATATCCATTGGTAAAGTCATTGATAAATTATTTAATTTGTCATTTAATTATTTTTTATTTTTTACCGACGGATTAGCAATGGAATTATACCAACGGAAGACTTTCGTTGGTGATTCCGTCAGTAATTTAATATATACTTTTTAAG